ACCTGAATTACCCTTCTTTGCATTTTATATAAATTTTAAAACCAGCTTGTTAATTTCCAAAAAAAGGAAAACAGGTAGACATTTTATTTGGATTACATTAAAGCTATATGTCAATTTATGTAGTACTGACATCTTTATAGTATTGAGTGTTTCAATCAATAAACATCATAAATCCCTATACAGATTTCCCTTGCTATCTGAAGTGCAGTGTTCCTATGAAATATTTCATTAGCTGCAATGACCTACAGCAAAGAAGCAAGTGCCATTAATTTATATGGAACATGTTTTAAGCATTCTCAAACCCAAAAAACAACCTATCTTAGGCTTTGCTGGTACCTTAGGGCACCTCTTGCTAACAGACGCACAAAAGAAATTGAGATAAAGCACAAATGCTCACAGACACAGGTCAAAACTATAGCTGCTTGGTGCGGATGCTAAGTGTAGGCAAGGGGAATATGTGTGATGGTACTATTCTCATTTTTCACCTTTTTGTTGTAAAAGTGAAAAACTTCTTCAGATTTCTTTGGAGTAGCAAAAACTGGTACTAATGTAAGTCTTTTGTAAGAGCAAAATGGTATAACACAAACTTCCAAAAATGGACAATACCTGTGTACAGGTCTTCTCTTGCTCTTATGCCACTTTTTAAAATTATTATCATATAGAGTAGTGGTTCTTGAGCAGTTTTATGGGGTTTCAAATTTCTGATGTAGATACAAATGTTTGCTGGGTTTTATCTACTGTAAGATAATATTGTCACTACTTCATTGATAACTTTTGAAACGCCATTTCTACTTTGTTGCTGAAATAGAAACATGGTATTTTTATATACTGATCTTATATCCAGTGACTTACCCAATTCACTTATTAATTTTAATAGTTTATTCCCTTGGATTTTCTTGATTCAGTCATGTCTTCTATTAATAATGGTAGATTTGTATCTTTCTAATTCATATATATATATATATATATGAATTTGAATATATATATAGAATATACATATATATGAATTAGACTATATATTAGAATATATATATAATTTCCTTTTCATGACTTACAACACTGGTTAAGATATTTAATAGAAGTGTCACAGTCTGATACCCCCTCTTATTCCTAATCTCAAGCAGTTTTCAGTATTTCACCATTACGTGTAATGTCTGCCAAACATTCTTTTTAGAGATACCATTATCAGATTAAGGAAATTACCTGATATTCCTAGTTGATTATTTTCACTACTGAGTGACCCTTAACAAATATTATTTATACATCTATCAACATAATAACTTGCTTAGTAAATGTGTACATTTCCTCAAATAAGTAGTTTTTCCAGACAAAAGATGTTACACACTTTAAAAATTAGATTTAGGGGCACCTGGGTGGCTCAGTCAGTTAAACATCCAACTGCGGATCAGGTCATGATCTCACAGTTTGTTAGTTCGAGCCTTGTGTTGGGCTTTGTGCTGACAACTCAGAGACCAAAGACTGCTTAGGGTTCTGTGTCTCCCTCTCTCTCTGTCCCTCCCTGACTCACACATTCACTCTCTCTCTCTCTCCCTCAAAAATAAGCATTTAAAACAAATTTTAATTAGATTTAAAACCCACTGAAACTCTTCACATGGCAGATTTTATGTTACAAAATTCTGTTTCTAACTGTCTACATTTATACATCCATAAAAGATAAGAGTTTTGATGATCCATATCTGTATCACATAAGACTAGAAACATTGCCCATTTTCAAAATGTTTGATCATCCAAATGTTGGCAATACATTTTCTTGGCATGTCTAAACAAATGAGCAGCATCTCATAAACTCCTAATAAATTCATGAAAATTAGGAGCACTGTTTTGGAGGGCAGTTTAATCCTATCTATCAAAATTACTGCATTTATATCTTCTGCCTTAATCATTCCACTTTTGAGAATTTAAACTTCGTCCATTTAAATATTTTCAAAATGATATGTGTATGTCATTGTAGCTGTATTTATTGTAGCAAAAATACAAAAGGAATTGCCTGGAACATGGGGGGCTGCAGTGAAAAAGGAATGTCAAAAGTATGCCCCATGACATAAAGATTCTTATTACATTAATTCTGTTTACATTCATTCGGCAAGAACAGGGAAGATGGCCAACTTTGGCCCTAATGAGAGAAGGAATCTGAACATAATTCTTTTCCAGAGAATTAAACACTGACGAACTACAATAGGCTTTACCACAGTCTTGCTTTAAGATCAGCAAATCTTGGATTCTTCCTTCTCTTGCTTACATACTCACCTCCTCCCAAGCTAAACTATACAATCTTCCCTCTCATTTACTACTTAAGCTCAAATCCTAGGTCTAGGAGTTCTCCACCTGCAGACACCCTCTGCCAGATCATTCAGATTCAGAGCAGTGAAACAAGGAAAGCCTACCTACCATGAACACTTCTATTCAGATGGAGAAACATACACTCATTGTTCATATTTAGCAATGCCAGTTCAAATTGGCCATATACAGAAATGGGCTTCTTTCCTAGTTGAAGGGAATAATCCTGGATAGGGCTCTGATTTGTCCTGAAGGTAATCCCCAGTCCATTGTTGTCTATGGTCCTTGAATCCACTCACCTCAAGGCAATTCTTTTTCCATTATCTTCAGAATATGCTCCAGCTGAAGAAAATGTGTGACACTATTACTTTTTGAGTGGTGAAAATCTTTCTCAGCCCATTTTCTGACCACAGAGAATTGTAAGCACAGTAGTCTATTTTAGTCCACACTAGTGTTCCTCTTGATAGTAAAACTCTTTCCAATAATTTATTGGCCTCTAATTTCAGTCAATATTATGTACAAACAACCACATTCAGAATTTTCTCAAGGCATACCTCTCTATATATATTTAATTGAAGACACCTTGAATGGCCAGGACTTTTTTAAGAAAGTCACATTCTTACTCTTTTTTCACAGAAATTGTCTTTCCAATGAAAAGCACAGACTTTCTGCCACTTAACCTGTTCAGATATCTTAGCAATTGTTGTATGGTCCATATGTTTTATACCATCTTTGCCACAAGGCTGATTTCAAACACTTTTTCTCTAAACTTTTCCTGTTAGAAATCAAAACACAACATGCCTTGCAAACCTCAAGTCTTAACTTTCAGGACTGTCTCTCATGCTTTTCATTTCTTCTCTCAAACTGGCAATTTCTGCCCTCAGCTTATCTCCTCATGTAATTTCCTTTTCAAGGATAGTCAACAGTAGACAATTCACGTTACTAGGGTCTTCCAGCATTTCCACCAAACTATAAAAGACATTACCGATTTTCCAAAGTATTGCAGGTGACAGTTTTATCATTCTTTCTCCTTCCAGCTCTAACAACACTTATCTTTCCCCTCACTTACTTGGGGAAACTGGGACTTATAAAGTAACCTGAAACCATGCAGCATGGAGATAATTTTTCCTACTCTCTTGATAGCATTTGGTCAGGTTTCTCACCCTCCTTGTATCACTGTATATGCCTCTAATAATACCACTACCCTCTTAGGACCATTATCCAATTGTCAGCAGGCTGGGAAACAAGATAGCCAATTTTGTTCACTTTAAAATGTATACAGATGGACATAGATATATGGCTCTGAGTTATTAAGCCTCCTCCATCCAATAAAGCTTTGGCTTTTTGTTCATACATTTGTTGTTATTTTGTGCTGATTTTGTCAGTCAAGCTCTATCATGACTATTATACTTAGAGAGATTTTTCCCATCTTATTTCACAATTTAAGATACTTCCTAGAGATTTGATGTGGTTAGAGACTTACCCCTGGATAAGTGTTTAAACAAATTGATACATGTTTAAAAAAAAATGTTTCCATGTTTGATAAAACAAAATTCTATTATTCTCTTAACGTTTCTTTTCTTTCTTCAAAAAGCCAAAAATTATATTTATTTTCACATTTTTGGTAAGCTATAAATGATTTGCCTTTTTGTATTTGTAATATGCCTGTTTTTATTTTATTATTCTGAAAAGCAAGGGCAAGTACTTAGTTGGAAAATTCTTTTAGCTCCTCTATCCTGTACATGAAAAATAAATTATTTTAGAGTGAGTCCTTGGACTCTTAGCACTAGAATAACAGAAAATTGGCTGGGGCTTTAAATACTGGCTATCATCCTCATTCTCAAGAGCTCTGCAACCCTAGCAAAGTTCTATAGATGCTACAGAAAAGAAGAAGTGGATATCTACTTAGCAATTGCTCTCACACTTTGGTCCATTAGTACCTAATTTTCCCCTGCTTGAATTTATCACTATATAAATGCAAATGTAAACATTTTCACAATATTCTAGGAACTCTTAGAATAGATTATGCATAAAGTAAGTTGATTTATTAATCAATATATCAACTCCCAAGTATCAAACAAAGGTAGTTATCTGCCATGTTGACTATTTAGAGTCTAATAATGCTCAGTCACGTCAATTAAAATATAAGTATTTTGATTTCCATCAAGAATATGAACAAAAACATCTTAAGGGATTATGAAACATGGAAACTAGATAGAGCTTTCCTTAACTATGATGAATAAAAATGAGTAATATGTTTTTGAAAAAAATTTAAGTGCATATTTATATAGTAATTTATTTCTCCATATATTTTCCAAATAATTTCTGGGAAATGAAAATTTATCATATTTACACAAGTGGTAAATTAGAAGAGGATTTGCTATGTGGAAGAGTCTAACATTTATAGAAAAGACTTGTTTTATACAGGCATTTCTTTCTTTGTTCCCACAAGAATGTAACATTTCCTGAAGTGTGGAATTTACAATTGGAAAATAAACTCTTAAGAGCAAAGTGATTTCTTTACTTATATTTTGGGTTTAAAAGGTAAAAGCTCTATTTTAGCTCAAAAAGCTTTTCTCATATGCTTCTTGGGCATATTATTGTAATTTGAAGAGGTTCTGAAAATAGAGGCAATAAGACTGTTTCTGCTTACATGCTGTGAAATTCTCCCCATAAGATTTTTAACTGAACTTGCTCAACAGGCAGAGAGAACCGCCTTCTTTTTCAAAGACAGAGGAGGACTTGTTCAGCAAGAGGAAAAGGCAACATAGCAGTCTCTGAAGGGGCACGTTGAGTGCACCTGTGATTGCTGCTCCTATCAATTGTTCTCCTCTCATCAGAAGATGCCAAAGAAACACAACATGTGCATGTCACAGGGAGAGTAAGTTTAAAGCAGAAGCTAACCTAACTGCCTGGAAAAAACATTTTCAAAAGAGAAGATCATTTGATTTATACATTTTGTGGTCTGAAAGTCCAAAAGGACCAGTGCTTAGCATAGCAGTATTTTCCTCAGTCTGCTGCAGGTAAAACTGAAAATAAGTTCCATTCTCCTTGAAACAAGGTTTCAGACTTACTTAAGCTTTGAGGCTAGGTTGGGGGTGAAGTGATAATAGAAACATAGGGAAATATTTTCTTCTATCATTCAAGGTTTCTATAATAATGCAAACTTTCAGCCCTTCAATAAAAGCAAAAGTTACAAGAAATATACATTTTTGAATTGTAATCAGACTTCCAAGTCAAAAGTCTTTTATGTATTTGCTAAGCACTCTGCTAACACACTGATTCAGTTTGTGGGCTTTTGGGTGTGGGAGTAACTGAAAGGAGAAGATCAATTAGCTCCAACTGAGAATGTTTGCATACATGTATTTGTTATGGACTGAATGTTCCCTAATTTCATTTGCTGAAATCTAATTCCTATGGTGATGCTATTTGTAGGTGACCTTAGTAGAAAAGTCAGAGAGCTACCTCCATCTCTGTCTGCCATGTGAGAACACAAGGAGAACTCAGAAGTCTACAGATAAAAAAAGAAGTCACCGTGCTGACAACCTGATATCTGAGTTCCAGCCTCCACAACTTGAGAAGTACTTTCTGTTCTAAGTCCTCCAGTCTATGGTATATGGATAGAGCAGCTAAAATTAAGATGCTTTATCCAGGAATTATTTGCATGGACTCTGCAGTGTGAAAAGCTGGCTGTGAATACATGAAGGGATAAAGGTTGCTGAAGAAGTTAGACAAATAAAATGACTAGACAGGACAATTTGAATGTGAAGTGCCTCTAGAAAGAAGTGACAAATGGCATCATAATGCAGTGCTTTGAACTACTCCAGAATATAAAATTAACCCTCAGAAAGTGTTCTGAATGTATAAAACTAACACTGGTATCAGAAGTAGTGGGTGATAGCAAACCTTACCCACTTCATCAAAATAGATTCTGGAGGAGACATGGAATAAAATGCAACAATCTTCTTAACAGCTTTGAGTTATATTATTATAAAAAAGTAAAAGAATTAATTCTTTATCTTTTGACAACACTGTATGTAAAAGCACCAAGAGAAGAAACATTGTATATCCCGTTCCTGTAAGAATAGGTTGTCCATGAGATTATAAGAATGAGAAGATTTATGTTCACCCAACACCACATCTCCTGACACCCATCTCACTTCTGATGCAGCAATGTCAGGTCACATTTTGCAAGCAGATCATCCACAACTTGTTAAAATGTACTCCACTCCTGCTGGGGATCAAACATTACCCACAACAAGGCATAAGTCTTAAGGAACTTAGTGACTCCATCAACTGTAAAACATTTGTATTATAGGGATCTCAGAAGAAGAAGAGAGATAAAGTGGGCAGAAATTTTGAAAAAAACTGAAAACTTTTGTAATAGGGGGAAGGAAATAGATATCCAGCTTGGAGGCACAGAGATCCCCCACAAAAAATTCTTCCCAGGGAAGTCCACAACCAAGCCCCATAGTAATTAATATGGCAAAAAGTAGAGATGAAAGAAAGCAGTTACATACAAGAGAAACCCCATAAGGCTCTCAGTGGATTTTTCAGCAGAAATTTTGCAGGCCAGGGGGAATGGCATGATATATTCAAAATGCTGAAAGGGAAAAATCTGCAGCCAAGAATACTCTATCCAGAAAGGCTATCATTAGGAATAGAAGGACATATAAATATTGTTTCTTAAAGAAAAACTAAAAATTCATGACCACTAAACCACCCCTATAAGAAATATTAAAGGAGACTCTTTAGGTAAAATAAGACCATAAGTGAGAGTATTAAAATTAAAAAAAAAAACATTAAAAATAAATATTTTGATAAAAATCAGAGGATTCACAAAATAAAAAGATGTAAAATACGACACCATGTATCTAAAGCATGGCAGAAGAGGAATAAGAATGGTTTCAAACTTAAGCGACCACCTACTTCATATAGACTGCTATATACAGAAGATTTTGTATACAAACCTAACGGTAACCACATATCAAAAACCACTAATGCATATGCAAAAAAATAAAGAAAAGGAATCTGTATCACTAAAGAAAGCCAACAAGCCATGAAAGAGAACAAGAAAGGATCAGAGAAAAACCACAAAACAAGTAAAAAATAGCAATAAATAGTTATCAAGAATTACTTTGCATGAAAATGGACTAAATGCTCCCATCAAAAGGACAGAGGGTGACAGAATGGATAAGAAAACAAGACCCACCTATCTGTTGCCTACATGAGACTCATGTCAGACTGAAAGTGAGGGGATGGAGAAAAATTTATAATGCAAACTGATGTCAAAAGAAATTTGGGGCAGTAATAGTTATATCAGACAAGATAGACTTTAAAACAAAGACTGTAACCTGAGGGAAAGAAGGACACTATATAATTATAAAGGGAACAATCTAAGGAGAAGCAATAATTGTAAATATTTATGCACCCAACATGATAGCACTCAAGTGCATGAAACAAACATAATGGCAATGATCGATAGTAATATAATAATAGTAGGGGACTTTAACACCCCACTTAACATGAATGGACAGATCATCCAAACAGAAAATCAACAAGGAAATAGTTTTGATTGGGCAAGATGGATTTAACAGACAAATACAGAACGTTCCACCCTAAAACAGCAATATAAACATTATTTTTAAGTGTACAAAGAATATATTAGGCCACAAAACAAGTCTCAACATATTTTTAAAAAGCTGAAGTCAGGGGGCACCTGGCTGGCTCAGTCGGTTGAGCATCTGACTTTGGCTCAGGTCATGATTTTGCGGTTCATGAGTACAAGCCCTGCATTGGGCTGATGGCTCAGAGCCTGGAGCCTGCTTCAGATCCTGTCTCCCTCTCTCTCTCTCAAAAATAAATAAACATTTAAAAAAATTAAAAATGTTGAAGTCATACCACACATCTTTTCTGAACACAATCCTATGAAACTAGGAATCAAGCACAAGAAAAAAATCTGGACAGAGCAGAAAAAATACATTAAGATTTAATAACATGCTACTGAATAATGAATTTGCCAACCAAGAAATCAAAGAAGAAATAAAGACAAATGACAAACACAATGGTCCAAATCTTTGGGATTCAGCAAAAATAGTTCTATGAAGGAAATTCAGAGCAATATAGTACTACTCAAGAAGAGGGGGGAAAAAAAAAGCCAAAAACAAAACACCTAACCTTACACTTAAAGGAATTAGAAAAAGTAGAAAAAACAAAATCCTGCAAAAGGAAAATAAAGATTACAGCAAAAATAAATGATATAGAAACAAAAAATAATAGAACAGATCAAGGAAACCAGGAGCTGGTTTTTTGAAAAGATCAGCAAAATGGATAAACTTCTAACAGACTCAGAGAAAGAGAAACCCAAATAAAATCACTAATTAAAGAGAATAAATACCAATACCAGAGAAAAACAGTTCTAAGAGATTATGAAAAATTATATGCCAACAAATTGGCCACCTAGAATAAATTGATTAATTCCTAAAAACATATACCCTACCAAAGTTAAAGCAGAAAGAAATAGAAAATTTGAACAGACCAATTACCAGCATTGAAATTGAATCAGTAATCAAAAAGCTCCCAACAAAGAAAAACCCTGGACCAGATGGTTTCATAGTCTAATTCTACCAAACATTTAAACAAGGGTTAATACCTATTCTCAAACTATTCCAAAAAAATAGAAGAGGAAATAAAGTTTCCAAATTCATTCTATGAGGCACCTATCACCCTGATGCCAAAACCAAATAAAAACACCACAGACAAAAAAAGAGTACAGACCAGTATATCTGATGAACAAAGATGCAAAATTTCTCAACAAAATATTAGCAAACCAAATATAACAATGCATTTAAGAAAGTCATCCACTACGGTCAAGTGGAATTAATTCCCAGGATGCAAGAGTAATATTTGCAAAACAATGTGATATATCACACCAATGAGAAAAAGGATAAAAACATATGATTATTTCAATTGATGCAGAAAAAGCATTTGACAAAGTACAACATCCATTCAGATAAAAACCTTCTCCAAACCAGATCTAGAGGGAATATACCTCAACATAATAAAGATGTTATATGAAAAACCCACAGTGAACATCATACTTAATGGTGAAAAACTAAGAGCTTTTCTCCTAAGGTCAGGCACAAGACAAGGATGTTTATTCTCACCACTTTTATTCAACATAGTACTGGAAGTTCTAGCCACACAATGAGACAACAAAAAGAAATAAAAGGCATCCAAATTGGTAAAACTGTCAGTATTTGCAGATGACAGGAAACTACAGAAAACCCTAAAGACTCTACCAAAACACTACTAGAACCAATAATGAATTCAGTAAATTGCAGGATACAAAGTAATGTACAGAAATTTGTTGCATTCTTATATAATAATGAAGCAGCAGAAGTGATATTAAGAAAATAATCCTATTCACAATTATACCAAAAATAAGTAAGACACCTAGGAATAAGCCTAACTACAGAGGTGAAAGATCTGTACTATAAAACACTGTTGGAAGATATTCAAGATGACACAAAGAGATAGAAAGATATTTCTTGCTCATGGACTAGAAGAACAAGTATTGTTACAATGTCTATGCTAGTCAAAGCCATCTACACATTCAATGCAATCCCTATCAAAATACCAACAGCATTTTTTCACAGAAATAGAACAATCCTAAAATTTATATAGAACTACAAAGACCCCAAATAAACAAAACAACCTTGATAAAGAAGAACAAAGCTGGAGACATCACAATTCCAGATTTCAAGTCATGTTACAAAGCAGTACTAATTAAAATGGTATGGTACTGGAATAAGAACACATGGAATAGAATGAAACTGGGCCACTTTCTTTCACCATATACAATAATAAGGTCAAAATGAATTGAAGGCCTAAATGTGATACCTGAAACCTAAAAAATCCTTGAAGAGAGCACAGGCAGTAGTATCTCTGTCATCAGCTATGGAAACATTTTCCTAAATCTGTCTCCGGACACAAAGGAAATGAAGGAAAAAATTATTGGGACACCAAAATAAAAAGTTTCTTCCACATTTAAGGAGATAATCAACAAAACTAAAAGGCAACCCATGGAATGGGAAAAAAATACTGGCAAATGACATAACTGATAAAGGGTTAATATCTAAAATATATGAAGAGCATATACAACTCAACACGCAAAAACTACTCCAATTAATAAATGGGCAGAACACATTAACAGATATTTCTCTACACACACAGAGTGGAATATTACTCAGCCACAAAAAATAATGAAATCTTGCCATTTGCAATAACACGGATGGAGAATATTATGCTAAGTGAAATAAGTCAGTCAGAGACAGGCAAATACCATATGATTTCACTCGTGTGGCATTTAAGAAACCAAGCAAATGAGCAAAGAATAAAACAAAAACCACAAACCAAGAAACAGACTCTTGATTATAGAGAGCAGTTTATTACCAGAGGGTGGGTGGATGGGGATTAAAGAGTATACTTTTCATGATCAAAAAAATGCTAATACAGACATAATGTTCTGTAACACAACAAAAAAAATGGTAAGCCACTTTAATGTTAGAAATCTAAACATATTTCATTTGGGAGCTAAAAGGGGAAAATAAAAATATAACAAAATAGATATAGAGCAATGGCTTCCAATGAACTCTATTAATCTATCCCCTTGGCAGTCAAAGTTTGGTTGAAAACCAGTAGCATTGGATCACCAAAAAGCTTGTTAGAAATGCACAATCTTGTGTGCCTCGTTAGGTATGGAAATTCTACAATTTAACAAAATTCCCAAAGTGAAAAGCAAGCTTGATTTAATAATTTACATATAAATGTTAGCCTTTTCTCCATCCTTACCTAAGTTTTCTCCCTTCCCTCCTGTTTTTGGATCTCTTCATCTTTTTCACTTTGTGTGGTGGGTATTTTTTCTTCTTTTCATTGTATCTTGACACGTTTTGTTTTGTTTTCAATAATTT